TCTCAGTATTTAATCTCATGTTAAACCTGTGTCTCTAGCTGTTTTTCAAGGGGGGAAATGCAGTGCTAGAGGAGAGGACCATCATCACCATTCAGTTGCCCCAGGACTCTGTTAGCAAATCTCCATAGCTAACAATATTCTGGCCCTTGGGCTGGCTGTTTGTTGGTCATCAGTCACTGGTAAAAACAATTGTGTAGTCTACATCCATATTCACAGATATGTTGGAATCAGAATATAAAATATCCACTTCCCAGATCTAAGACACGTACTCTGCAGGGCTCCATAAAGATTTATTCAGATTTGTTTAACTTAGTTTAGCTCAATTTTGCTAAGCTTTGAACCATTCTCTATTCAGCAAGTATAACATCCTTATTTGAAGTAAATAGTTTAATGTAATTTCATTAAGCTATATAGTCTTTAGGCCACAGTCCTCTCTAGATCCATAAAATATTTCACAATAGATCAGATATTAGCATTATCGATGGCTTTTCTTATAAGGAAAGCCAGACTATGACTTAGTAGTATCTAAAGTAGAATCAAGAACCAGCACCTACAGCAGATCTCTCTCCATTCTGCATGGATTAACAGTTGAATCTCTGCAATTTTAGTTCCTTTCTTTTTTATATACTTATTCATTTTATATTTTATTATGTTTTTAATTTTTAATTTCATAGTGATTTAATAATTATTATTACTCTTATCTTTATTAATTGTTTCTCAGGCACACTATTTCCTTGGCTCAGCTTCCTAAGGTGATTCTCCATTATGAAAACTTTCTATGTAGCTTCAGAAACAGCTACTCAGCCTTCCTGGGAATTGCAAACATGACCATGACATTGTAAGGGTACAGTAAGAAGAGCTTCCCCCAAGGGATACCTTAAAGGTTGCTAAAAGGGGACAAATATATTTGTTCTACCAACTACTGCCTCTGGAGCAGTTTGAGGCAGATGAAACTGAAAAGAAGGACCCCTTACGGTCTGAAAGCTACTACTTATTTTTGATTTCCCTTGTACATCCCACAGTGCTGGCAGTGCCTTTTAATCACATAGGCATACTGCTACCTGCATAACCCACTGCTTAAACAGCACCTGTCATGGTCCAAGGAGGCTGTGCAGTGTGAAGGTGTGCTAAGGTAGAAAATTGCTCTTCTTGGGTTACTCACAGTTGGCCACAGCAGCAACAAGCAAAAAACGATGTGACCTAGACACTGACCCTCAAGAAAAGCCACTTATACTTTCCGGGGGAAAGAAAAATCATATAGACTGACTGAAATACACATTTTGTCACTACAGTATTGGTTTCAGTGTGGACATTGCATCGAAATCATGCCAGCCCAGCAGATCTGACATTGTTACCAAAGAACATGTGTAAGAGAGAAGAATGTACCATCACGTGCATATATACCAGTACATTCACTTCATATGCATAGGTACAGCATTCAGCAAGGCATCAATTTTGGTGCCTTTATCACACGTGAATCCCTGGTTAGGCTAGACTTACAACCACAAACAACATTACCTCTGCTTCAGGGAAAAAATGCTTATCCTTTAGGAAGCCCTCAATAGCTGTTCTTTCTTTTGCATTACAAAAATCTGTCCATTGTATGGATTGTGCGCATGTCTATATTTAGTTCTGATCTGAAACCAGCATCATGCCTTAATTTGTTACTCAGCCTCAGCAAAACCACAATACCACACAGGTTTCACATACTCCTCCTAGCCACTCTCCATGACATTTACAGTGCATATCAGAATGAACGAGAGCTTACCTTTTATGTACTGCAAATGAATTATTAGAGCAATGCTCTTAGCTGCTTGTCTATCTCCTTCCCCAGCTGAGATGACTTCATGGGTATGTCTTTTCTGATCCATTCAAGCCTCCAGTCAAATAGATTAAACCACAGCTTAACCTGGCTTTGAATTCAAAAGGAAGAGAAAGGGGGCCGACAGCTGGATGTCGGCTTCAGCTGGGAAACAACAGCACAACCTCTTCTGGCTGCCTCCTAGCTGAAGCTCACATCTGCTAGTGCAAACTTTTTTTTCCATTCTGCTTCATTAGCCAAGTTTATGCAGGTGGTTCTGATCTCAGCCAGGAAGGGCAAAAACTAACATGAACCCTTCCACACTTAGACCAGCAACTGCTGCAACTGCTGCGACTGCAGTGCCAAGACTGAATTCCAACTGCTGCCTTTCTCCTCTGCTGTCTTCCACTGGCAAGAAAGCCAATAGTCAGCACTGGAGTAACAGAGAGAAGTGTCTACCTGGGTAGCCACCAGTCTCCCTGGGAAGTTGCCACATATTAAGTTAATTTTTCAGTGCTGCACTGGAACTGAGCAGATGAGGAACGCAGTGGTCTTGACTGGGAAGCAGTGGACATATGTCTGGCATGTCCATAAACTCACTGGGCCTAAGACGAAGGCAGGAGTCTAAGTCACACATTCTGTGGAGTTAAGCAAGGATACTTTTCCACTTTGAGACACACTTCCCTTTCTTTTTTTTTTTCTTTTTTTTTCCTTTTTTTTTTTTACCTTGGCCAATGATGTTTACAAAAATACAAAACCAGGCAAAGAAATAATTCAGTGTAATTCCTCTGACACATCACTCAGTCCTAGTTCTGGCCTCTTCATAACCCCACCTCTTTTCTCTCCTTTTCTGTGGTTACAATACATTCCATTTGCACTCCTTCCATTCAGAATCTCTTTCATTTTGTTAGGGTTCTGTTGTCCACACCTATTTCTCTCTTTCTCCTTAGTTCAGGCAAACCTGACAGACTTGCAACTACTTAAAAGTAATCCACATCAGAGCTAATATATTATTTACTGCTCCTTGTTTAGGACCACGGTATTTTTGTGCTGAGAACTCTGTAATAATTCAAGCCCACTTGAGTACTCGGGAAAGAGACTCAAATCTCTTATCCCACCTCTCTCTGGAGGAGAAAAAAACAATGTACAAGCAATAGCCAATGTTCACTGACACTCCAATGATACATATATTACCCATGCTGAGGCTCCTTAGTTTTTCTTCCTAATTTGTTTTGAAAGAAGAATATAGGACCCTATAAGAAGAAAATGTTGCATGTTGAACTGTAATTCTTGCTGATGTGATGCCAAATAAAATGGCTTTGCAAGACACCTAGATTTGATTGATGCATTTCTGTCACTCCTTACCACCATGATTTAGTGTGATGTATGAGAGAGAGACGGCTGCTGTCCAAGGCTGCTGAATTAACAGAACAAATGTCACAAAAAAGGGGTAAGGGTAAGGACCAGCTTGACGTAGGAATATGATTCTGACAAAGGCCAGTCAGAGCAGAACTGTTAGTTATGTGGGTTTTATGAACTGCTAAGTAAAAGAATGTATCATGTAGATATTCTTCTGAAGATCCTGGAAGAGAAACATGGGGGGAAATCCTGGCCTTTTCTGAAGTAAACACCAAAATTCCCATTCACTTTGTTAAACCAGGACTTAATTCCTTGATTGAAGCAGAAATCAGTTTTGAAGGGGGGGCAACAGATGGCTGAGCCAGGATTTGGGACACAGATTTCAGGAGTGTAGATAGGATTCAGAAAACACCGGCAATTAGGAATGGAACTAATAACTGAGCTGGCAGATAGAAAACTCCTGAGATATATCATGTCATTTTCAAAGTGAACATCATTAACTACTGTCTTTCTAAATATGTTTTTTTAGTTTCTCAGTAGAATAAAAATTTCATACAATCACATTTACTATGACATCTTAGAACTAATGTCCTGTTAAGAGAACTATTTTGAAAATAATGAAATTCAGAAGATATTTCCAAGCGTTTAATATGCCTAGAATAAAAACATTACAGTTTGACTTTATCTGAAACTCATTTCTGTGTGTCTAACAATATTGTCACAGCATAAGATCACAAATAAGTCCATTACATAAATTTTATTTGCAATGTGCAACAATTTGCTGTAAAATGGCATTTTGACAAATAAAAAAGCATTAGCAAAATAACTATCAAAAACTACTGGCAAACATAACCAAAAAAAAATATACCACTTAAGAAATAAAAACTACATAGCTTTCCATGTTAAATTTAGAGTTAGGAAATGCTTTCGTTCAAATAAGGAAGAAATCTGTATATTTCTTGCTGTGAGAAACTGTTTTGCATATACACTATTTATAGTAACAGCATTGCCTTCAGCACCATTCGTATGTGACTAATATGAGCATTGAGTAGAATTAGAAAACCTAATGAGACCAGGTCAAGATCTGTGAAATAATCTACGGTTTACAGGGTAAAAAAAACAATCTGGATAATAGAAAAAAATGGTACGAGCAAACAATAGATTTTTTTTTTTCTGGTTTTGTTAAATTAGTGGAAGTTGTTTGATGTTCAGTATCTGGAAAAATGAGGCCATTTAATCAGCTTCCTAAAGTTGCCTAATCTCAAGTCCTCGATTTCTGTCTGAATCTCAGTCATTGTACTTTTGAGTTGGAACAGTTTGAATGGGGCTGAAGGAGAGATTTAGCAGAATCTCCTATTGATAACCCATACTGATCTTACTATATTTTTCCCAAATTCATTGGATTAAAAAAAATAAATTTAAGCTTACAATTCAACCAAAAGATAAAGGAGATTTTGTACAATGGGAGATGAAGCCTTTTCTTTGAATACAGCAGTATTTCCAAACACTAAGTGAGATAACAAGTGTGATTGCACAGAGGAACTTTCCTATGTCATAATGATTTGTGTTTTGGTCATTTTGTTTTTATAAGGAAAGAAGAGTTCCAAAGCTTATCGAATTCTTAAATTTTCAGTTTTTCTGTCTGCTTTCTTTCCAGTAGACACTCTTGTTATAATGGGGACTGTACGTATTAAAAATCACTGAAGAGAAGTCAAAACATTCATCTTTCACTAGACAACAAATATATTTGATGGAGTGCAAATTCTTTAGAGAGCGCACTAAATGTTGACAGTAAAGAACATTCTATTTCTATTGAATTTTTCTTCTTTGTTATAAAAAGGAAAGTTTACATGTATTGAAGTCCGATTTCACCTTGAGAGGCAGATGGGTTACTATCTCATCCAGATGTACATACCGAGTCTCTTGATCGTCATTCTCTCCTGGGTGTCATTTTGGATCAATATGGATGCAGCTCCAGCCAGAGTGGCTTTAGGCATAACAACTGTACTGACCATGACAACACAAAGCTCAGGTTCACGAGCATCTCTTCCAAAGGTAGGCAGAATTTCCTTTGTTTGTATTGCATTAACCACAATGCTAGGTGGCAAATAAACACCTTCAGTCAACCTTATAATATGTGTTTTAATTATTAGCATTTAAGCATCTTCTAAAGGAGATAAATAACTTTAAAATATAGGGTTTTTTTGAGCAACCAATCAAATATATTCTATTTCTTTCCTGTCTCAACTATTTAGCCAACCACATATCTACTGAATTCCATAAACCTCAGCAAGTGATGAAAGCAATGTTATTCAGTACTACATAAATGTTACTTGTTAGCAATTGACTAGCTCATCCTTTTCCAGATCCCAGTATCTGATGACATGCTAACAAATATGACTGAATTTCTAAAGGTCATAGATTCTAACCTGTTCTCAGTGATATTCCTTTCCCCAAACCTGCCTACATTATGAATTCACTCCACCAGGACACACACATTTACATTAAAATGTAGAAAAATGTGAAGCTAAATAGCTCCAAACTATTGTATAAAGAATGGTTCACTACACAATGTAAATAGCTTAAAGTATATTTGTCTGATTAACTATTTAAGTTTTCTGACTTGTCATTGCTTTAAAAATTTTCTTTTTTATTTTAAGGGTTATTCCTTGACCATCTTCATGTGCCATTGCAGTTAATAGAAATAAAATGCACACAATAAAAATACACAAAGTCCATTCTGTATTAGTTTTAACATGGTATTTTGAGGTTGGCTGATTAAATTTTTCTCTAAGTAAAATAGGTACCCTTAACAGAGGTATGCTTTGCGCCTCAAGTATATGGATCCAAATGCATCAGAATGTAGCATCAACAGATAAGAAAATGGAATGCTATAAAAACTCAGAAAAGCAAGAATGTAAGAGGTTACCAAAGAGAGCTACAGATGTTTTTGTCACATTTCTGTAAGCCTGAAGCTAGCTATGTTGGCTTATATGACAAAGCTTTTGTAAATCTGCACACAGAGAGGGAACAGGCCCTACTTTCCTAGTTCAGATTATGTCCTGCAGCTGAGCTTGGCAATAAAGGATTGCAATGAGTTCATCTACTCTGTAGTTGATTTTCAGTACTTCCACTGTGTCAAAATTACAGGACTAATTTGAACCTATAACTTTGATTTACCATGCTATACTAGCAGAGAATGAACATATCAGAGTTCTCCATCTCTCTCCCTTTTTCTACCTAATTTCTATTCCAGGAATTTTAAATCAGATCCGTTATAATACAGGAATTCCCACTATAAGCTATCCTCTGGTTCCTTAGTATCATTCACAGATCTCAGTGGGACAAATGGAGGAAGAGCATGTGCTTCTTGTGGGTTATTTGGTTTGTGATAAAATACACAGTAAACCATGAAGAACTGTTAATGTAAACAGTAAACACATTTTGTGAAAGACTACATTTTAAAATAATATTTAACCCTTATAGATTGAATTGTTGTCCTTCTTATTCTCTAGCTTTCATGTTAAGTTTTGTTTGATAAAAATAGTGTTGGGATGTGGAGATATTAATGCACTTCTTCCTGACATGAAATACTGAACTTCACATCTGTGTTTTAACATATACAGTTTTCTGCTCTATTCTCTCCATAGGTGTCATATGTCAAAGCGATTGACATCTGGATGGCTGTGTGTCTGCTCTTTGTATTTTCTGCACTTTTGGAGTACGCAGCTGTAAACTTTGTGTCAAGGCAGCATAAAGAACTTCTGCGATTCCGCCGTAAGAGGAAGAAGAACAAGGTAAAAGTAACAGCATTCACAACTTTGAAAGAGAGTCTGAGATTGATTTATGCCAGGATATAGGGTTAATTTGGTAAACATACTGCAGTTTAAAGTGGCAATATAAATAAAATGGCAGCACAGAATGAAATTCACTGTAGGCAGAGTCACTACAGGACTATGCACTGCATAAATCCAACTTGAATTCTAGAAAGAGGGATTAAGAGGGATTTAAATGAGGCATGGGCCATGTGGGAGCCATCTGCACAAGCATGAATTTCACTCTGTTAGAAGAGTCAGATTATACTTCAGTGGATGAGTGTTACTGGTACATGCAGCAGTTTGTGCTATATTGAGATTCCACAAATAATGTTTCTAATTTCATTCTAGTATTCAGTTCAAAGGCTTAACAGCTGTGTTTCATATAAACATTTTTTTAATACAAAAAATACTTATTCAGTTAATATTATTGGCAGAAGAACAAACATTTTACTTTAAAAGGCTGAGAAGTTTGGTGCTTTTTCTTCTGTCATGTTAATTTAGTGTAAATTGTTCATACAACTGGCAAGAAATTTTACTACAGCAATGGTTATTGATATTTATTTTATAGCTGAAGCTATCTAGACTACCAGTAAAATAAGTCACTACCAATGTGCAAAGCCAAACAGCTAAGGCTACAGGTTTGAATTCTGAAGTCCGCAGTTAAATCAAGCAATAAGCAAATTTTCTTACAACAAGTAACGCCTACTTCCGATTTTTCAAAGAGTAAATATTTCTCCAACCTACTCATTAAATGAGTACCCACCACTGATGTCACGAAGAGCCTTTCCAGTGGCTTTCAGTCACTATCTAGAATATTACTGTGGATGAAAGTCTGACCGTAGCAACATGACTCAGTTCCGCCGTCTTTCATTCTTGAAGATGTTCCTCATTTTACTGCTTACATCACAAGGAGAAGACATTTTGCATGTTGTTTCCCTTTTACTTAGAAGATACTGAAAATCTGTAATGCTGTAAAGCCTACCTAAGCAGTCTCTGCTAGCAAGACTCCATGTTAAAAGGCAGGCTGGACAGTCAAATGAAAATGACATTTTCATACATTTGCCAGTTTCCTGTGTGTTGAGTCCTAGACTTTTTCAGGTGCAGAGAGAAACTCATGTACTGTAGCCTAGAGGATGATTCAGACTGCATGTACCTGCTTTCAACATTTGTCCCTGTGAAAAACGTGCTTTTTTCTTTTCACTGACAGTAGCAGAAAAAACACTTTCTGAGACACACAGGAGGAAAGCAGCATGTTTGTGACAGGGTGTTTGTTTTTGAAATATGGCATCTCTCTGAAAGCTGCTTAAAGGTTTGGAATGGGGGGAATGGGATGGGCAGAGACGGATTACCGGACAGGGGACAGGTGAGCCACAACAAATGCATCATGTATCAAATACAAACAGCTGTGGTGAGTGATATATTATGTGACTGTACTTTCAGTCCTTTCTTTTTTTCACTATGTATTATAGTGTCTTCTGCATCTCAGGCAAGTTCACCATATTCGACTTTAGTGATGTCTTTTCACTTCCTTAAATACAGGTCAGTTATAACCACAGGGTTAGAAACTGGCAGGTAATACCTTCCTTCCTCAGAATCAAACCAAAGCTCTTTCCAGCCCCCTCTTAGCAAGACTTCAGACTCACCAAAGACACTTCTTCAGCAATCACAATCAAATTTCAGTTTAGTGGTATGTGAGGAAGGATCCACAATATACAAAGTACTTCTAAGAGAAGACCACTTAAGAAAAAAGTATGCACGTGAATAGCCTCACTGACTTAAGTGTTCTGCTGGATCAGTGCTTGACATAATGGCATTTTTGAATTCACACTTAAAAGTCCTTATTCTAATTTTACACTTAACTAGACAGTCTTCTAGCTTCAGGTAGGTTGTCTGCTAGGTTCTCATAAAATTAGAGGATTAGACTTAGAGACTGCAGGGTCTATAGTAAAGTATCAAGTACTCCCCTTAGATTCTGAAGGATGAAGACATGCATTTCAATCCTTTTCTTCATAACATACCCAGGTGAGGGTATTAACTATATTTGGGCATATATGGCTTTCCTTTCCTCCCTCCCCTTTCCCTCCAATCCGTACGTTTCATCATGAGACAGGTTTCTCAGCCTAAATTTACAAAAAAATGCTTTGTTCCCATGCAAGGTTATGATTTTGACAGACATTTTTCTGAAAAGACTAATTTAACTGAACTTTTCTTGACTGGCTCCAATTCTGTGTAGAGCTACAGCTCCCGGTCAGAGTTAACCTTTGAGAATACACCTACTCAAGCTCTAGAGACAGCTCAGCTAATTGCTTCTCTTTTTCTCAATGTTTTATTAAACCTTTCCTTGCCCAACAAGTATACTAGAGCTTGAAACGTTACGGCATGGAGATTTTATCTCTTCAAAAAATTGGATTGCATCCTAAACCCTCTAGTATACAAATAATAAATAATGTCTTATGGATTAAGAAAGCAGTTAATAACTAGCCTTCCTTACCACAAATGTTATTATTTATTTACCACAATTTCTAACATGAAATGCAGGCCCTAGGATCATAAGTCAGATTAACATGTGTTTCCTTCCTCTTTTGTCTTTTTCAAAGTCAGTTATTATAGCTCATGATTACAAAGTTTTGTATGTGTTTGTTATCCCTTTGGACTAGGTCAAACAGCCACTGGCTCTGAGGAATTAGATTGTATTGACTTTTAAAACTACCATGTATAAAGAAATGTTCATTTGACCACAAAGTCAAAAGACACGAAAAGAAGTTAGGTTAAAAGGCTACGTTTAAACTAAACTTCAGGGGCTTCCTTGAACATTAAATCCTCTTTCTTTTCAAAGTGAAAACTGCTATTCTATTCAGTATTTATGTCCAAATGGATTAAAAATAGAGTGATTAGGATAACTTACTAGACTTTTTCATCCTATATGCTTACCATCTTGGGACATTTTACTAGAATTAGGCTTTTCTACCAGGTGAATTCCAACCGATGAATACAAAATTTTTTGGCACTGGCATTTTATCTGCAAGAGTACAGCAAAATTCCTAGTGATTCAACTGTTGCAAAAGTCCAAAAATAGATGGGTTTGGAGATGTTTCATTTCAGGTATATGTTGACAGAAGAGAACATGTATTAATAATATATAATTGCAATAGGGCAGTTGAAGAATTTCCAAAGTCTATTTTCTTTGTAATTAAAAAGACATGCTTGTTGCAAGAAATATTTACTTTTACCAAGTAACCCTAGCAATGGTCAGACAATTGAGTTTCAGTGCCGGAATGCCCTTGGGAGGTCAGTGAATCCATTTTCCTGACCTAAGTCAGGATCAGTTATACCTAATTCATCCCAGTCATAAAAATTCCACAAGCTCCCCTGCAATCTATTCCAATGGTTTAGACAGTTTTTTACTCACGCCTTTTTTGGCCTCTCATAGCTTCTCTACAAGGGGCACAGAGAACAGACTACTTCATTCCTTTATGTAGCCATTTGCACATTTCTATTCAGTCTTCTTTTCTTTAAATATTCCCAGTTGGTACAATCTTTTTTTTGCTCATTCTCCTTCCCTGGAAATTCTCCTAATAAGTCCATATAATTCCTCAAAACTGTGTTTGCAACATGAAGCTTAGCCAGTAACAGTTGAGAGCAGCCAAAAGATCACATCATGCAAGTTATACACTTGTTTATCCAAACCAGTTTGCCATTTGCCTTTTTAACAACAGCATGGTATTGACCCATATCAAGATTGTGACCTTCCATAACTCCCAGGTCTTTTTCCAGAACTACTGCAGAGCCATTCATTTTCCATCTTATGTTTGTGAATTTGATTGTTCCTGGCTAAATGTAGTATCTTGCATTTGCACCTACCGACTCTCCTGTATTTTTCAGACTCTTTGTCCAAATCATTGAATTCAATTTTAACTCTAAACATATCCTCAAACAATTTTGCAGTTTTTCCAGGTTGGAGACTTTTGTAAATTTAATTAAAACTATGGGTTATTCCTTCTCAATACTGATTAAAAACACAGGAGAACTGAAATCTCTCTCTTAAAAAGCATATGATAGAACTTGGATAAAACCCCTGCAGTAAACGAGTGTAACAAACAAAATAAGAGCTGCTGAGATTTATGGAAAATTATACAGTTATACAAAATGTAATTAGGTACAGAGCTGTATCAAGACATTTTGGCATCCAAAGCTCATCTATCCTTGCCATTTTCCTTATGCCTTTTCCACCTACAGTCACTGCCTCTTTCTGACACCATCTAGTACATCTGCAGCTTCCCTTCCCAGACAACAGTAACAGCAACATCAAAGACAATTCTTAGGTATAACTGCACCCTCTGGCTATCGTTTTTTATGGTTGTAGGTGTGGACCTCACTCAATGATTCCAAATAACTGAAAGGCAAATTTCTTTTCAGAGGCCCAATCCAATTTGTTCAGAATTAACAAAAATTTTGAAGTGTCTGGGATTGTGTTATAAACATATTTATAAATAAAAATTGTTATTGCAACATAATATGCAAACTACTCATTGCTGTTTTCCAACAGGCGTCACAATAGGTATAAGATATTGTCCTAGTTTCAGCTGGGATAAAGTTAATTTTCCTCCTAGTAGCTGGCATAGTGTTGTGTTTTGGCTTTAGTATGAGAATAATGTTGATAACACACCGATGTTTTAGTTGTTGCTAAGCAGTGCTTACGCTAACTCAAGGACTTTTCAGCTTCCCATGCTCTACTGACTGAGAAGGCTGGGGGTGCACAAGCAGCGGGGAGGGGGGACTCAGGGGGGCAGCAATCGCTACTCGGGGACTGGCTAAGCGTTGGTCGGCAGGTGGTGAGCAGTTGCATCACTTGTGTTTCCTGGGTTTTGTTTCTCTCTTTCTGTTGTTTTCCTTTTCATTAATTTTTATTATTATTATTATTGTTGTTGTTATTATTTTATTTTATTTTAATCGTTAAACTGTTCTTATCTCCACCCACAAGTTTTCTTATTTTTGCCTTTCTGATTCTCTCCCCCATCCCACCAGGGGCGGGGGGAGGGTGAGCGAGCAGCTGTGTGGTGCTTGGTTGCCAACTGCGGTTAAACCATGACAGAGATTTTTCAGAAAGGGTATCATTTCTTTATGATTACACAAATGGCATAGTGAATCCTGAGAACATGGGAATTTTGGTTCCCAATTTGAGACTTCATTTCATAGTCAGTATATGATCCATAGTGCTTTGTCTCCGTCAGAGAAAGAAATCTCGCCAATGAACACAACTATTTCATTACTATTATATTACTAATGTGACGGAAACATTCCTTCAGAATGAATGAATATTAATTATTCTTTTACAGTCACACTCCTTTTGGTCTTGAAAGACAAAAGGAAAAAAATGGCAGAACTAGAAGTCATAGAGGGATACTGAAACATACCTATGATCAGTGCTTCTTCTTAGTTGCATTTACATTGTACAGGGAAAAACATGAACTGTGTGCATATACTGAATAACACTTTGATTTTAGATTAGCTTTTAATATATTTAGTTTTCAGGAATAGTCAATTTTTTAATTCTACTATCAAAAATCTAAAGATCACCATATCTTTAATGAGGAAAGTAGACATGCAAACTAGATTGTCTTTAATGGTAATCACACCTCTTTTCTTTTGTTTTCTTTTTGGTCAACCCATCCGTTTTGATGAAAGTATTTTGAGGGAGTTCTTGATGGAAATGAAATCAGTGAATCATTGCAGCATAGCAATGGCTTGAGATGTACAGGACCTATAGACGGGACTTTGCCTCAAATCTACAGTACAAATTTAAGGGTAAACTATGAAGAAGATGTCCCATTTGTCATAATGTGATATCCAATCATTAACAGAGGCCCTGTCCTTTTGTCTGAAATAATGTCATCCCATGTGAACTCCATATACCTTCATTGCTACCTGTATGTGATGACGTGAAATGTTGATAAAGGTATCTGTCTTGTTAATTTCATAATCCATTTTGATCTGTTTAAATTTGGATTAAAACACAGTATTAAGATTTTACTTTCTGCAACTTCAAAGGAACAGTGACATCAGTTCAAGGAGAAATCAGTTGCTACCAGATCAGCATTTAAAACCAAGCTGTTTGTAGTGCAAAACAATTCAATAACACTTTTCTTCTCAAAAATGAACCGTAAAAAATATAGTTTCCAAATAACCAAAGTCAAGGCTTCAAATAATTCTTCAAGCTGTTACTACAACCTGCAGTCAAAAGGCTATAGAGATATTTTCAGCCTTTATGCATATGACTCCTCAAGAGAAATGTATTATTAAATATATGGACAGAAAAAAACGTAGTCACAGGGCCACAGAAACTGACAGCTTTCTAATACTTTATAGCTAAGTATTTTGTAGAACAACACTGATACGAAAATAAACTAATTGAAACTATTTCCTTCAGGCCTCCAAAGAATTCTAACTTTCTAAATAAAAATTGTTATCTAAATTTACTTCCATTCTTTAATTACAGTCATTTTAGTAGAGATGGTAAAATATTTATATGTAGCTGTATGCAGAATATTGTTAATTCCAAAGCCACATGTGTGAAAAGTGCATTCATATTAAACATTTATTAAAGTTCATTCATAATAAGATTTTAAAAGCTTTATCAAAAATCAATAAGAAATCAGTCATTTTCTTTTCTTTAGTGATGATGCACTAAACAAATACACAAAAGACCAAAAAAAAAAAAAGCTTTCTTATTACATTTTAAAAAAAAAATTCAACCAAAATGCAGGACTTCTTCAGGAAGATTCACTGTCCAGAATCTCAGCTGAGACATACAGGGTATTTCCATCAGATGATTTTACTAGCTGTGGACTCAAACACGTGCATTATGAGAAATATTTCTAGTCAAAAAGCGGGTCGGTAGCCAAGATAAAAGCAAATGGAGTGTCACTGACATTTTACAAAAATGCCTTCGAAAAAGCACTCAAGTTAATATCAATAAAAACGGTAACTGCATCTTTCCCACTGTGCACCCTCAGATATGAACCTGAGGCCAAATTAATGATTTTTCTGCATTATGAACCTGCTGGAAAACTTGCAGAACCACATTTTGGATATACCAGCTGGTAGCCCAGAAAAAAAAGTATGGTGGTACCTGGCAAGTTACAATGCTCCAGCAGGTGCCCTTTCCTGCATATCGATTAGCCCTAGCACTTTGGTCTGACTTGGCAGGCTCCAACCATCCTGCCTGCCCTCATGGAGACAGTGTCCAACAGACACTGGGCAGAAATGCTGGACTCCTAGAAGGACCTTCACATCACTTCCTCACCAACAGAGAGCGTTTCCAAGCAGCCTGCTTGCAGACTAAGTTCAGGATGTCTGCACGCAAAAAAATAAGCAGAGACCTGGCCTTTAAAACAGTTCTAGGGGATTGCTCAATCCAGGTAAGCATAGAACAAAGACAGTAAAGTCTTAGGATATAGTGCCTCATCCTGAAAACACACCAACTGAAAGCTGCTACTCAGAAGAGTTATTTTATTATCTTTTTGAGCCTGTGCAATCATAAGCATTATTTTCTGGAGAAGCATGAAAAGATTTAAACCCTGAGTTGTATGTATGAAGGTGCTTAAATGGCAAGTTTAGTGTACATTCTCACAGTCCATGTATTTGTAACTTCTGTTAACTGGAATACAACACTACAACTCTTCTGGAATACAACTACTATAAAGATGTTATTTCCCATTCTTTTCTGACAGGAGAGGAACACTATTGTAGTGACTGATCTTTATTTTATCACGTCATCAAATAATGATCCTATCATTTTGTATTTCTGTTATTCATTTCCATATTGAAGTCAGTCAGTGATTTTTCCTCCTCCTTTTCTTTCATGTTAACTTTTCTTTATTTTTTGTTTTTATAGAAGTCTAATACAGATTTGAAGTATAGTAGTTTCAGTGAACTATATTAGTCTATAAGTTTATTCAATTTGCGTATATGAAAAAGTACTGCAGTTGGGTAATAACTACAGCAGTTGGGTGGTAACTACAGCTCTGCTGGATGCTCGTGCTGATTGCCAACTAGTTCACTTCAAACTTAGAAACTGATCTGCATTCTTTTGTAGATAACTTATTCAACTAATATTGATAATGAACATCATTGGAAATTCTTTAAACAAAGTAATTAACAATGGTTCTTCTAGCAAGTACTACTTAATCGAAACTTTAAATGTGTTTAGAATTAATTCTCCGTACCAAAACATTTCCAGATTTTCCAAATGTCACAGGCATTTTCAAAATGAAAAATTTAGAAGTTTGGATTTAAATTGTGTTCATTAAGAAATTACATTTGTATAAAGTAAGAGGTTTAAATAAAACAAAAATTCTTCAGAATTACTGAACTGAAACACTAATTATTTGACTTGCTTTGGTAAATAATTTTTTTTCCCTTTTATTTTAATTTAAGCTAGAAAAAGCTTCAAAATACAAAAAAATCTATTACAAAAAGAAAATTGACTGCTGCTAAATTGTTTTTTTAATACTTATGGAAATTATTTTCCAAAATACTTATTTAAGAAATAACATATACATAATACTTTGTCATACTTCATAAAAGTCTAGCATCCTAAAGCAACTACGCTAAATTAGACATGAATTTAAAATCAGTATTAGAAAAATTGTGAATGCCATCAAAATTTATGACTATCCTTGAGTAGCATACATAGTGAAGGAATACACTGGAATATATTTCAGAACCAAATTTGGCCCTGGCTTCACAGTCTATGTATCATTTATTTGCCTGCACTTGTGCCTCCTTTATTACTTGAGAGTACCTATAACCAGGTAAAGAGAAGTACAAAATGTGTCTCCAGACAGAAGGCACATTCTTGAAATGCATGCTATGGAAATATGTATATCTTCAGACCATCTACTTTTGTTTCTTTGCCACGTGATTAAAAACCACTTTCTCTTATAGCTCCCGGAATTCAGAATGTCTTTGCCAGTTATCCCCTGAATTGACAGAAGAATGAGTCAGAAGAAAAATCTGGCCTTTAGCTTTCATGCACTTTATTTTAAACTAAGACACTTTTCATACTATTCACAGGGAACAGCAGAAATAAGGCATACAGATAAGACTAACTAAATATACAACGACCAAACGGGCAGAATTCGCGCTAATACAATTAACATGGACATCATTAGTGCTTGTATGATGAGTATCTCTAGAGGCCAGGATCCCATTTTGTTAAGCAACGTACAGGGCTAATGGCTGCTGTCTAAAAGACCAGTGTGAAGTTTGCCCAGTTGAAGACTGCGGATATTTACGGTAAATGGGGAAAATCAAACCAAATCAGAAGTTGTGTGTCTGATTACCACTAGTTTACTAAGCTTTCCCTTTTCTCTAAATAGATTAAAGAATCTATAAACATATAGGAAAATTCTGTGCTTGTTAAATCTGCTGCGATACTTTTGACAGACACTGATAGGGCTGGAATTTCAACCAGTTAAGATAAACTGTAGATAAAAGAAGTCACTGAGGTAATGGTGTAATACTTGCTATTTAGCAGCTGGTGAGATTTCTGTTATTAAAAAAATTTTTTTCTTTTTTTCTTTCTTTTTTTTTCTTTTTTGTTTTTTTTTCTCAACAGGATGATGACGTAAGGGAAAGTCAGTTTAGTTTTACAGCATATGGAATGGGCCCATGTCTGCAAGCAAAAGATGGAGTGACACAAAAGGGGCCAAATAATCCTGCTCAAGCTGCACCAAAAAGCCCTGATGAGATGAGAAAGGTATTCATTGACCGGGCCAAGAAGATAGACACAATATCCAGAGCTTGTTTCCCATTAGCCTTTCTGATTTTCAATATTTTTTATTGGGTAATTTACAAAATCATCAGGCATGAGGACATTCACCAATAACAAGATTAAAGCTTTCTGTTAGAAATGTGCATCAGAGGAGTGATTAGGGGAGTTAAAAGCATTGGGGGGGGGGGAAAGATCCTGCATGGTCTGCAATGCCCAGTCACAGTGGCATGGAAGAATGACAGCCAGAGAAGATACATCTGCTATTGCAAACTTTCCGTGTCAAACTAAATATTAACTTTTTCATTGTAAATCACTCTCTACTGAAGCTTTACTGCCAAGTATTTATACATACTGTTACATAGTAGTATAATTGTACAGGTCTCTTTGATGTTCCTTAATTTTTTTAATTCTGGTGTATTTTTAATTTAAAAAATGGATCCAGAATACCCTAGGTAAATCCCACAGTATTACAGAATATATTAGTATTTGTAACCTTTCTTTCAATTTTACAAGATAATGACAAATTACTGATTTGAGATTACAGTTTTAAGGACTTCTTCTTGTCTTGAGGACAATACCAGTGATTTTGAAACGAGCACATTTGACACATTTAAGTTACATAATTTATTCAATGTACTTCATCTTACCATTCCCCTGGAAGGTGTATGTTGAAATAACCTCAGACAACACAAGGTATCTACAGCCTAATAGTCTGCATATCATATGGGAAATACATAAAAATTTGTAAAGTACTGATTCCTGCAAAGGATTTTTTTTCTTTTAATTACCCACACTTTGATAATTGAAACATAATATTTTTTAATCCTTTTTATATTTTTGACGGGGTTTTTTTCTCAATTGATATAACTCATACAGCTTTTGAGATAGACAAACTACATCAAAATTTTGCAATGCTTTATTTTGATTCAGTGCAAAGAGATCTTGGACCAAAACTAAAAGCAAATATTCAACTGCTTCACTGAAACATTTGGAGGATGAGTACAGCTGTGTTTATACATATTTATCTCCTACATGTTACATAAATACAGGAAGTTTAATTTATTAATATATCAAGTTTTCTGTCTCATTCTTTGAAGTATATTGATATGACTTATATACTGGTTAAGAAGCACTTCACAACTTTGGAAAAATACGCAGCTCTTCTAAAACACAAAAAAGGATCTAGATGGTCTTTCACATTTATTGTACTTCACATTAATAAATGGGAGAGCAACTATTAAAACTCTTAGAGAAATTTTCCCTGTTTACGATTAAATAAGTCATATTAGTTGCTTCTTTGAATTATAACACAATAGATCACATTTATGGCATAGCTTGTAGGCAAGAGTGTTTACTGTTGCCAATCTTGTCTATTGAAAAAGAAAAACATGCTACAATATGGAAATCTGACATTTAGAATTACTAGATACTTTAAGTCCAGTAGCAGAGGTTGTTTCTCATTGCAAAATATTTTTATTTTGAACATATTTTATATTTTTGGTTTGTTGTTGTTCAGAATGTGTATACAAAAGCAAAATACAGCTGGAGGCAGACATCTGGTGCACTGCCAAAGGCATGGTGCATATGAAGTAACAGAAGCAATGTAACTTTGCACTGAGGATTATAACATAGCAACCTTGGGTTTGGTTGGGTTTGTTGTTTTCCCCCAAGGATTAGTTAGACAGATTCTAAAATAGCAACTCTCAGATTTTGTTCAGCTGTGCCAGAAAGAAGCTGTATAAACCTCCTGTATTTTAAAACAGTATTTTTTTAATAGTTTTGCTTCATTTATGATCTGAAAAGAATTCAGTTCTCTTTAAACAATTATTGTTTGCTGAGGTCATATCTTGGTTTTGTTAATTTCTTTATGTGCATGTTCCAAAAAATCCTGTTCACTTATGAAGGTGCTTATCTGTGTGAGGGGTACCATGAACTAATGGCTGACATTTCAGTTGGGTTATATGCATCTCTCTCAAAGTTATCATTAGCTGTATCGTATGAAAAGGGATGTTAACTTGCTTCTGCTATCAGCGAAGTCAACAGTATTGTGTTTAAGGACTGTTTGAAGTACTGGATCCATAATCAAGAGACAATCATAAAAAATTACATTATCTTTCAGGCTCATCTCTCTTCTTTCCTCCTAAAATAACTGACTTGCATTCGATAAAGAATTCTTAACTGAAGGGGTAAGTGCATAAAAAAATGCTGGTCATATCGGAATAACTCCTAGTTGTTCTAGTTTATAACACTTGAGTACCTGGTTCACATTGCCTCTTCCCTAATCATTCAATAGTCTGTTGCTCTCGCACATGTAGTACTACCCTATTTTGAAAACATTAACAAACATGAGTGATCCAGAGCTAAACAAATTTAGCCCTAATTTCTTTCTTTACTCTTTAAGGCAAAAAGGGTTTATGCTCTCAAATAGAGAAATCAGACAGGAAATCTTGAAAGTGATAAAAGAGAGATAGGATTACAGCACTGGCAAAATGTAACAGGGACTCAGAAGGAATGTACATTGTTAAGCAAGAAGGACAAGATCCTTCATTCATATATGAACCTATTACCTCAGTGACGGGGAATAACCCTTGTGCCACATTTCTCTTTGACTAGAGTATGCTAACCTAAGGAAAAATTACATCATAGAGCATATATAAAGTAAAAAGCATATATCTATATTATAATTCTTTTCTGACCTCCCTAATGGATTGATACCTATAAGTTCTATTTAAAATAAATGAGATCTGTAGATTTAATGACTGGACCTAGTGCCTAGTGTTGCCTCTCAGGATGACTTTCTTCAGCCATGCTCTATGGTGAGAGACAAGAGGAGGGTCTCAGACCTGGCCAATGGAAAGTATATCCCTTCCTCTATGTAGTTATATTTCTCTTTCATAGGCCATTACATTGGGAAGTTGAGCATACCCTACTTCTATACAGAAAATGTACATATAATGCTCAGTCTTCTAATAGGGCACATTGAAGATAAAAAGAATTAAATATGTTTAAAACATCATCATTATGAAAACTCTACAGTGTTGCTGGAACTTTTTTTTTTATTTAGCAAACCATTAATAACAAAAGTATTTCAAACAGAGGGCAAAAGCAAAAAATGGTTCCATGATGATTTCAAATGCACAGAACATTTGGCATGTCATTCTGCTGCCCTCAGGTAAGTAAAGATTTTCTATTTCTGTGTAATGGAACAAGGATCGCTCCTGAACTGATAGTTTTGTGGTTTTTTACTGGAACCATAACATTTGCCAAGGTAACAGAAGCCTCTGGAGTCCACTAGATAATGTGTTTTTCAAAAGAAAGCAGCTCTTAAAATTTAAATTTCATTTAGATTATTCCTAAATGACTTAGTATAAAGTCACATGGTAAAGAAAGAGAGAAATGTCGTTTGAGATGACAAGAAACTTCGAGGCACAGATGCCTGGTATTCACCACTGACTAGGGGAAAAGTCCAAAAATGCCAGCAGGCATGCCAGCCCTCTGTACAAAGCTAGAATCAACAGCTACTGTCATCAGCTAAGATTAGTGTGGGAGATGATTCTTTTGTAACTGTATAATGAAGTAGCAGGGAATAACATTAAGAGGATACAAGAATTGAAAGGTACTCTGCAGTATTCATCAGACTGCAGTATTTATGCTACAGTCCTGTGAAAGAGGCAGTGGAGAGGCAGAAAAATCCTCACCAAGGAAATAATGCTTGAGGCAGATGCTACCTAGCAGAGCTTCTCCTACACCTAAAAAAGACCCCATTCATTAGGCTAAAGTAGATAGCTACCTCACTATCACTGAACCTGGGCTCTGCAGAGTACAGGTCCTTAGCAAAGCCACATAAGAAGGCTTCTTGTAAGCACAACCCCTATGTGACAGGCTAATGCAGCTTTGCCCCAATTCATTATTCACCATAGGTGCAGTCTCTGTGCTGCTCAGGTCATGTTTTTGCGGTCTCTGTAGACCAACCTTATACTTCAAAAATAAAATACTGGCACTAGAAGATCATTGCAATACAATGAAAACAGAGGGAGAAACTGCAGGATCTGGAGGAATACTCCAGTAACACAGCTACCAGAGAGCTGACACAGACACCATAAAGGGGAAAGAAGGAAGCATGAGGCATCCTTACTACTTTTCCCCATCCCCCAGTATCCTCTCCATAGGTACACTTGTTCAGGTGGAAGCAGTAGCTGCAGGGGGAAACAATTTATGACAACTGCTGCAAACTATATATTCTTTTGGGAAAGTAGTTTCTACCTGTGCAGATAGATAATTGACATCCACACCGTCCGCTTACTTAACGGAAAGAGAAGTGGAGCAGGAAGGTACAGGATGAAAAGTGTGGGCTGTACATAGCATAAGAGGGACCACAGGGAGAGAGAAAGCCCAAAGCAGTACCTGGAACCTCTCATATGATTGTCTTTTCTTCCTGCACTAAAGAGAGAGGTGTGGCCAAATACATGTCACCCCTTGTAAGGCCAAAAAATTCAGGACCTTGAAAGAAGATAAGAAAGGTTCCTTAGAGGTGCAGTAGATATACTCAACTACCACAGTACCAAACTCCAGCTTAAATTCTGGATAGCAAAATGCATTTTATTTTTAAAACCGTATTCAAATATCAACAAAATAGGCTTGCATGGTTAGAGGGCTGGCTTTTTTCTCTATAACACTGATAAATTAGAGGAGGCTTGAAGGAGAAAGGGCAGAAGGGGTACTAGTGTTTTACTGTTTAGAATTTAGCTATTTTAACACCAAACTAAAGCACATTTTACTTTCAAGGAGTTTTGACAGCAAGCACTATTCTTTAAGCAGGTTAGTGGAATTCAGGAAGAACATGAGATTTAATTATTTTTTCAGCTCAGTCGTATATTGGTTTTCTTTGGATTCTCTTTATTAATGTTTGTTCCAAAACCTTTTTATAGGCTGCTTTATAAAGAATCCTTTGTGATGTGTGAGAGATGATTCTGTTTACTCACTAGAAAGACTTCTATTTAGGCAATTTAGATGTGCACTTTACATTTAAGGAATAAGGTATTTGCTTCCACTTTGTACTATAACCCCTTACAGAACTGTAGGTTGATAATGTAGATAAAAATAGAATATAATAA